TCAACACTCAATTAACACATTTTTATATATAAACCTGGGGTACAGAATATAGACAAAAAACAACTTTCATAGATTGAGATAGAGCCATAATGTCGTAGATATTTGGGTAACAAAAAGTTTTTGATCCTGATAATGTTTAAAGTAGGCAATTTAAATACGTGCAATTATGTAATTATTATGTCTTTAGTTAGTTTCTGGAGAAAAGGCTTAATAAAGGTGGTATCTTTTATTTTATAGATAAATTTATTATGTGTCACATGTCGCCTTTAAAAGATTTTGTGGTGATTTTGCGCATACTTAATCCCGCTTTTGCATGTTGGAACAACAATATTTTATTTGTTTGTATACGCAGCCTAATTGCTTATTTTGTATAGTCTTATTTTATTTTCCTGTCAATTATGAATACAATACAGCATTCATTAAAATATTACATTCCACTTCGATTTCGTTAGAATTAATATGGAGAATATAGAGGATATTTGTTTGTTTGTGTGTAAGATGAAATTTTATTTCATCGAGTGGACTTTAAAAACAGTATTCCCACGAGTGGCGTAGCCACGAGTGAGAATACTGTTTTTTGAAGTTCACGAGATGAAATAAAATTACATCTGACACAACAAACAAACCAATTTTCTTTTTATTTTATGCTTAAAAATAAGTTAAAACGAAATTTCCTTGATATTAACTTTAATATTAAAATCTGCTTTCCCCACTGGTAGCCTCTATTATGTACATGTATTAGTCGAATTTCTCATAAAATACAAGAAGCTTTGGGCTGAAAATAAGTTCGAGAATCAACGTTAAATGGCGATGATATTATCCATTTTATTAAAAAAAATATGAATGATCGCTTATTTTAATAATAAAAACAAACCATTTTTGTAGGAGAAAAAGTCCAACCATCCATCCATATTTCTGTTACTTACTGCAAATGTACAGTATATTAGACATGGCTCTGTTAAATGTAAGCGGCGGCCATTTTTAAAAGTTGTGTATTTCACGGGAGGAAAATAATTATGTTTGGTTCAGAGGGATATCATTTGGATTTGTTAGTCATACACCTTTTTAAAAGAAAGAAAACTTATTTGAGGATTGTAGCAGACAATAAATATGTGTTGACAGATGTGTTTAAAAAGTGGCTAGGAAATTGAAAACAGGCTGCCTCACGAACGCTGGGTTGTTTACTTATTCTTCGGGCTGACGACTGTCATTGCTTTTCAAGTTTTCATAAAGCATACGGCAGTTATTGCTCGTAGGAAATATGCCCAAATGTCATCAAGAGCAGTTTTGCATGTGGAAGGAATGTATTTTTCAGACTGTAAAATGAAACAAAAAAAATTAAGAGACGATATTAATTTTGCTGATTGGTAATTTGGATGGATAGAATTAAGTTTTCTTCTTTTTATCACTTTTAACATTTAAGTTATCTATCAATTTCAGCTTTGCTTTCCTCTAAACAGCCTGACATTGTCAGAATTGTCAGCAAAAATAAAATTTAGGTACCCCATGGGGAAAATCTTAAGAAAGTAGTTTCGTCATTGGAAAGTGTGAAATTATATTTTGATAATTTTCACTGTGAAATTATCAAATATAATTTTCACGGATAAACCAGTAATCCACTGAAAAGCATAAAATAAAAAACTATAAAACTAATGTTATTGAAAGTCATATCTGCTAAAAATGTAAACGTAGTAGCACAGCCGGTTAAGTGATTGACTGATGTGTGAGAGGTCTATGGTTCGATTCCTACTGTTGCCTTTTTTAAGACCTACTGTTTTTTGGTGTTTGTTTGTTTTGTTTTTTTTCTTTGGGGGGAGGGGTGCAGTATATATTTTAAAACACTTTTTGTCTCGGTTTGTGTTGTGTTTATGGCATTGGAATGGTATTTTTGACATTTCAAAATAATCTTTCAATATTAATTTTAAACCATAAATACCATAATAAGTGCAAAATATATAAAAACAAAATGAACAACTTAAACAAAAATGATTGCTACAAATAATTTTGAAAATACGGAACGCCTGAAGTGACATTTTCCCACACTTTCTCCCGGAATTGAATTCGTTTTTACGAGATAATAATTCCCCATTAGAAATATTATTTCGTTTTAACGAAATATAAAATCTTAATTACGAAATATTGATTCGTTATTACGAAATATTATTTCGTAATTACGAAATATTAATTTGTTATTACGAAATATTTATTCTTTGGTAATATTTATAAAGAAGGATTTGAAACTTAGTTTATTGTTAAATATAAGTCAAATAAACAAAACATAAAAAGTGATTTTTTTCAATCTTAGTCTTAAAAAGTAGTATTTGTAGCTGTAAAAAGTCTCCCCGTACATTTAATCAATGATGTTATATTTTCGATCCTTGAAGATCGTTCAGCACGACATTATTGTTGTGTATACATTTTACATGGTATTTTTAGTTTCTTGTATTTGGCCTTTTTCAATTTGGGTGGTTCCAGTATTCCTACTTGAATACTGTTTAATCAACCTTAGGATATGTTGCCTGCTTTTTAAATTTGTCTTTTGACGTCTTATCTGTGATATGCAGGCTTCATAACCTCAGATCCCCTTTCAAAATTCCATTTTATTTAGTTCCGCCCATTGTTTTTTCGTTTAGGGCACACGCATTCTTTTACTTGGGGACCATACGCCGCTTTTCATGGAATGACACTACTGTGTCACATTGAAGGTTCCATGAAGATCGCCGTATGAACACATCTGCGGATGTTTTTAAATTCAAAATATCACCATTTTAGTGTTTAAATGTTGAATTCTGCTTAAGCCGGTGCTAGGGGGCGTGGACGGTAACTTGCACTTTCCAGTACCGTCCATGAACAGGCTCAATCAAACCGAGTCTCCAACATTTTCAATTTTGTCGTGTTGGGCTTTCTTTAGGGATTCTGTATTTCTCTATTTTATCTATTTTATACCTTAACGCGCTAGTAAAACAGTACTGTAAGTAACTGTTAATTGCGGCATTAGGCTTATAATCGTTATATTTGGTGGTCAATCTCATTAAAATCAGATCATATTGAATAATCATTAGGTTTTGACAATAAATTAATTGCATCATATTGTATCATAGTTTTAATGACCTATTTTAGTTTTTTTTAAGCGGCCATTTTAAATTGACCTTTTGAAGGTGAAGGTCAATTTTATTTTCTTGGTATCCACCCACATCGTCTTCAGCATACCCATATTAGGTTAAAACACTCAAGATATTACTTGTACTATAAAATGCCTCTAGCATTCATATTTTCTTAAAATCAGTCCTGTCTACAAGTCTTGTTTTGTCCAAGTATAAATAAAATCCGAAATCCAACATGACAATTTACCAAAATTCATTATTCTGATATTGACGATCAAGGTCGTTTTAAGTTCAAGGTTAAGGTCAGTGCAACCTTTTAGAAGGTCTTGTCCAGAAGGTCGTTTTGTCCAAGTATGAAGATAATCCAGATCATCCATTTATTAATTACCAAGTTACAGTCAATTATAGCAATCAAAGCACAGTAGGCGCTGAATTTGTTTGGGTCTCAGAATGTCAGAAAGGTGAAGGTTGTGAGATTATAAACCAATTTGTTTGTGTATAGTGCCACCAATGCTTTCCAGTGTTTTAACTGTAGTAAATTGGCTATAAGACTAACTGCAACACTGATATTCAATTCAATGTTTATTTGACTTAAACAATTTTTAAAAAAATGAGTTGCCTTAACTGGGATTTGAATTCCAGACCTCTCGATTCCTAAGCGAGCGTGCAAACCCCTCGGGCACGGTGAAGTTATATTTTAACGGCCTGAAGAAAACCATATTATTCTAAATTAGGGTTTGTAACTTATTATTTCGAGTTTAACACATATGTAGATAATCATGGAGCTTACTATAAGCATGTATATCTATAAAGAATAAAACAATATTAGAAATCTTCGACCATTCGTGAACTATTTTGCTTGAAAATTAATGCGCCTGTCATTTGACAATCTTTACGCAGTGGTCTCCCCTGAATTTTTCGGCGTAACTGTACATATTAAGGGAAGTAACCGCTTCAAAAAAGCGGATTACTTTCGGCATTTGCAATTAACAGCATCAGAGTCTGAAATTTCGCTACCATTATTTGTTTGGTCTGACGACCCAAACAAATAAAAATAAGTAAACATTCAATAATTTAACCTACAAGGTCATAAATGAGCCAAGGTAAATTTGAATTTGAAATGCATGAAGGTCTTGTCCTTAAGAATGTTATTTTAATATGAAGTAAATCCATTCATTAATAACAAAGTTATAGCCAGTTGCAGCAAAAAGAATTTCAATAATTTGACTTTCATGGTCATTGTCATTTATAAGTGAAGGTCAAGGTCTGTCTGGTTTACTTGAAAGTCTATCCTAGAAGATTGTTGAAGTTAAAGACAATCCGTTTCAAAATAACAAAGTTCACTAATAGCAAAAAAAATCAGCAAAATTTATTAAATTTAGACATCAAGGTCATTTATAAATACAGGTCAAGTTTCGTCTGGTTCCCTAGAAGGTATTGTTCCAAGGGTTGTTATGATGGCCAATTATGAAGACAATACACTTAAAACTTAAAAAAGTTATGATCAGTGTTAAAGTTTGGGGGACGGCAATAGGAACGGCGACATAACTGTAACAATACCTCTTCAAAGAAAACGAGCTAAAAACTATATTCTTGATATGTTTATGTCATGGGATATACGGCGAGGACAATACAAGACATGCTGTGATTCCGCTAAAGGGGTCGATCAGGAAGAAGTTCGACGGATAAGTTTTAACTCATTCTGTGGTTTCATGCATTAATTGTTAAAGTTAATAGGTCATTTTGGCCACAGGAGAATCAATCTATCATACACGGTTAAGGTTCATCATGAACCTGTTATAGTTAAAGTTTATGTGCTATATGCTATCATGTTGTAAACTATGTCCAACTAAATGACAGTGTTGTTATTCACTAGGACATAAAAAAATAAATCCCTTTCCACATATCATTTTGTTTATTTGAAAGACGAAAAAGTACAGTGAAAAAAACTATAAACACAATACATGTACACGTACACTTATATACATAAGGGCAATGATGACCATAATTGCTCACAAGAACTAACGTTTCATTGTTTTTCTTCGAACAGGATCATTTGAACAAGCTGAAAGCAGAACATATACAAGGAATGGAGATTATCTATTGTCCCACGACAGGGTTTGTCATCTCTTTCTATCCGTTTAAGAGAAGATTCGGAAACTATTTTAAAAGAAAACTTTGTATCATTCATGTGCTTAACATCAAGTATATAGATGACCTCATGCCAAATTGCGTTTTAATGTGCTACATAGCAGATTTGATGAAGATAAGGATATTTATTTTTGACATTATGTGCATATACATGGTAATAAGACATTTAGTGAGACATCACATAATACAAACATGAACACAAAAACCATGACATGCACACCAACACCATGGATAACACAGGAAGGATAAAACCTGATTCCACTGCGGTCCGTCCATTGAATAATAATAAAAGATTTGTTTATTACCCATTACAGTAACCAATCAGAAGTAATTTGAATTTAGCTGAAACGGGTGTTTTACTTAAATATAGAAGTGACTTTTACCAGTAGTTACTGAAGAGAAGATAGTTAAGTGAATTATTGACAACCGAACATCCGCCTATCATGAACGTTTAGTTCTAGTGGTCATGCACGTTTAGTTCTAGTGGATATGTACCTTTAGTTCTAGTGAGCATGAACCCTTTAGCTCTAGAGGACATGTAACTTTAGTTCTAGTGGGCATGAACCTTTCAGTTCTAGTGGGCATGAAACTTTAGTTCTAGTGGGCATGAACCTTTAGTTCTAGTGAGCATGAACCTTTTAGTTCTAGTGGGCATGAAACTTTAATTCTAGTGGGAATGAACCTTTAGTTCTAGTGAGCATGAACCTTTTAGTTCTAGTGGACATTAACCTTTAGATCTGGTGGGCATGAAACTTTAGTTTTAGTGGGCATGAACCTTTTAGTTCTAGTGGGCATGAAACTTTAGTTCTAGTGGGCATGAACCTTTTAGTTTTAGTGGGCATGAACCTTTTAGTTCTTATAAAACAGCATGATAAAATATAAATACAGATGAATATATACACATACATATTTTTACAGAAAGGAATGAAATAAAAGTTTTAATCGCACAAACAGATAGTTTTAGACATAATATTCAATATGCATACTTTGCGAACAATCACATATTAATTCAAGCAAAATGCATACACTGTAGATAAATTAATCACACTTTCACATAGACAAAAAAGCATTGCCATGAGTTGTAATAAATGTAAACAATTTTTAGTTCGTGTTGTGCGTTTTGTTCAAGTTAAGTCACACAAAATCTACAATCTTTAATGTAGGCAATTAAGATGTTAATGTAGAGCACTAGGCCAGACTAAAATACTTAATTAATTGAAAATAGTAAGTATTTAGAGTGCTGTGGGTAGTGGTTAGTTTACTTTTTGTTCTGTTTTAATCATATATACATACTAAATGAAGTATTAACAAGCGAAAGCCACGCACGGCTTATTCTAATTTTGAAAGTCAAAATTACATTTACAGTAAAATGTACCCTTACAGAACATAATATATGTTGTAAAAAAATAAAATTTAAGTTTCACAGTCCGGGTCATTCAAAGGTCAATGTCACCTCTGAATTAATCACCATGTCAGTTTTGACATGTGTTTTTCTACATGTGTATGACTAAAATCTGTGAATTATAACAAAGTTATGACAACTTAAGCATTCAATAATTTGACCTTTACGGTCAAGGTCAATTAAAGGTCAATGTCATATCAGATAATTCGGTAGTTTGTTTATCGTGTATTACAATCCAACGAAATTCCAAATGATCGTTTTTTAATTATTCTACAGTCCCTTGTAAGCAAAAAGAATATAAGAACAATGTTTGATTGTTATAAATCTTGTATGCTTCCTCGTTAATTAGTTAAAGTATATTCTCGATTTAAATAAAAGACAAAAAAAAGAAACAAAAACAAAACCCTATCTTATTCGGAAGTAAAACACCAACGAATGTTGCTTCCTTTTCGACAGATTTCGTTATGTATATGTGTGTGATCTTTTTAACGTGAAAGGGTATTTTCAACTGTAAAATCATTATTTGAGAAAAATGCAAATACAACTCATGGTCATTAATCCAATTATTACATACAAATACACGATTAAAATATATTTATCTTCTAAGATATTCTTGTAGATCTTATACTTTTTAAATTCTCACAGTTGCATATAAAAACTTACGGGCAAAATAGAAATGGCAAAAGTAAAACGGCAAAAACTCATTTCTAAAAATTAAAATAGACATTTTAATTTTTTGCACATTATATAGCAACACAAAAATATATGATTTAAATTTTGTTATAATAACTTGCTACATTTGTTCAGGCCTTTTATCGTTTTGAATAATTACTGAAAATAGTGAATCTACAATGTAAAAATGATTGAGATTCATTGTTCATAGTTAGGGGACGTTATAGTTAGGGAACGTTATTTGAAAAAAAACACAGACTAGTTATTGTTAACAATAGACACATAGTCTCCAATACATCACGGTTATTAAAGTACTCTAAATAATCACTTAAGTTATTCTAATTCTGAACACACTTGACCTTGACACCATAAAATAGACAAAGTAACTTGATATCACAGATAATAAACTGCGCATGCGCATTTTCCTTTAAAACACTAGTTTCGTTACAAATGGATAATGATTTATGTGCACGATTCCTTCATAAATAATAAATGATTAATAGGCGTACATGTAGAACAATTGATGGCGTCATACGCAGTGTCCTATTCAACTCAACTTGATATTTGAAGAAAAACGACTGTAATTAAGAAAAGTGGAAATAATGCGGCTTGACTGTGAAGTGGTCCACTTGCTGATATAAAAGCACTATTTTCTGAAACAAAAAAAGTACACAAACTAATAATTTATTCATAAGAATCATAAAAACAAACCACACTAGTGTAATAGCAGTCATAATGATTTAGTGATTGCTAAAAGGGTTGAAAACACTTGCTTTGCTGAATAAAACCTTCCTTTCGTTATTTTGTTTGAATAAAACTATTAACACTTTTAAATATTAGATATTATTCATGGTAAGTAAAATCGTCATTTATAAATGTTACATAAAATAATTTTACAGATTTACAAGGGAAAATGTTTATATTATCATATATTCAGCTTACTCTGAACGTGATGTTTGGTTAGAATACAACCGCCATTAATGGTATGGTTAAATACATGTATATATTTGCCGAATTAATACAACGTCTGTGTCAGTTGGGAGAAAATGTTGAATTGTAGGAATATGATGTAAGATTAGGTAACATTGGACAATTAGTGCAGTACATTATTTGGACAAGTTGGACATTTTGTTGTCAGATTAAATTTACCTTGGAATTTGATCGACACAATTGTGTATTCATCAACTATGAAATCAAGATCTACATTTAACAGAGATAAATGCTAGCTAGGCATTATACAATATTCCTAGATTTGTCATAAAAAACATTTTCTTAAATTCGTGCAATTTTCATGGTCAGCGAAGTAATTACGAATTTCTGGCACAAAGTAAAAGAATCTACTCGCGGGAAGTTTATACAAATGCATTTTGTTGAAAATTTACAAGTATAATGGCATTTATATTCCAATGTATTACTCCGAATAACTCTGTCTTTGAATAGGCCGCGTTCGTCATACAATAAATACGGATCAACATACCATAATTAAAATCACAAGAGACCAAAATTCACGCTTTCTCAAGCTAAATCAAATGATACCTAGAATCAAGTTCTCTGTCTTTTATGAACCAATAATTTGTAACATGCCCACCTCTCCACCAATAACCAGAGGTAGAGAAATATTGCCACATGTCGTAGCCACAATACCGTAAATGAAGTGCAACCAAAACTACCTACAGTTATAGTCAAAGAAGCAGTGCAGTGTCCCCTCCCCCACTTTACTACGGCCATGTTGCCCCGAAAGTCTTAAGTGTCCCCGCAGTTCTCCTGTGGGGGAGTGATACAAATGACCAGTGAATAGTGTAAATTTATAATTTCTAGCAACAAATTAAGTGCTAGACTGTTTCTTTAACCAATCTTACCTCTGGGATCAATTTCTTTTTGAGCTGTTGCATTAAATGGCTCTATGTCATTAAATGCGTTGCATGAATAAATTCCAGCATCATCAAGGTCCACGTTCCGTAATGTCACGGAGCTTTTTACTGTATTATTTTCTTCATTTACGTGAGAATAATTTGTTATATTGAGTACAACACCGTCTTTGGTCCAGGCTATATTTGGAATGGGAGACCCGGATGCCATGCACTTCAGTTCTATATTTTTATTATGATATGCTTGCATTGTATAACTGTCTATCACAGGACTTGCTGTAATAAACGAAGTGTCGAATACAGAAATACAATTTGAAAAATAATACTATCGACAATAATTGAAACCAAACTCTTTATTGACTAAATAAAATAACTTTGAAAATGAATATGTTTGATTGTTTAGCATGATAAATAGGTGGTACATTTTTATTCAATCATCAGTGAATGACTAATGGAATAAAAGCTGGGTTATAATTATCAAAACTTCTTTAACTTCAGCACTAACAAGAAAGTGTTAATTAATATATCTTAGTTATGTCTTACATACGTGACTGTTTTTGATTTGAATTTTTTATTAACTCTTAAGTATTTATTTCTTAAAAATAACAATTATTTTACCTCGTAGAAATACTGATTTAGGTTTCTGTATCTTGACATCATTACGTTGTGTCAGTGAACACAGATATTCCCCTATATTAGTCCTATCTGAAAACACAAATAATAATAATAATTGACAACACCATACTTTCATATTTTCCAGAACAAGTTATGTGATGGACAGACAGAAGGACAGAGATAGAGAGACAGACAGACAGACTGACGACAGAGCACAAAAGGTTGTGGCTGGCTACTTTGCACATGTATCAGCTTTTGTTTACTCCGCCAACAAGAGATACAGCCGGGCGGGGGCAATGCTCGACTTTTTTTTCTTTCACTAAAAGCAAACACATAAAAAAAAACAAATAAATAGTTTTTCCTTTTATAAATTTCAATAGGTAGGTCTAGTTGTTTTGTCCAAGTTTGAATCATTACATTAATCTTCAATGATCACTGTGCACATGGTCCAAAATTCATAGCTGTACATAAAAGGACAAGAAAAAAGGTCACTTCATCAAAATCTAGGTCAGCTGATATCAAAGTTCAATTTTACATTTAAAACTGTGCATATTGTCCAAATGTCATAGCTGTACATAAAAGGATAAGAAAGTAGGTCACTTCTTTTAATTATCTAGGTCAACTAAAATTGTGCAGATGGTCCAAATTTCATAGCTGTACATCAAAGGATAAGAAATAAGGTCTTTTCTTTAAATTATCTAGGTCAGCTGATATCAAAGTTTAATTTTACATCTGAAACTGAGCACATGGTCCAAATTTCATAGCTGTATATTAAAGTACAAAAAGAGGTCAATTCATCAAAATCTAGGTCAGCTGATATCAATGTTCAATTTTACATCTGAAAATGTGTACATGGTCAAAATTTCCTAGTTGTATATTAAAGGACAAACAAAAGGTCAATTCATCAAAATCTAGGTCAGCTGATATCAATGTTCGAGTTTACATCTTAAACTGTGCACATGGTTCAAATTTCGTAACTGTACGTCAAAGGGCAAGAAAGTAGGTCAATACGTTAAATTATTTAGGTCAGCTGATATCAAAGTTCAATTCGACATCTTAAACTGATAATTAATAAAATTATTTAGGTCAGCTTATATCAACTGTCATAAGTTGGCCACTTCGTCAAAATCTAGGTCAGCTGAAGTCAAATTTCAGTTTTACATCTAAAACTGTGCACATGGTCCAAATGTCATAGCTACAGGAAAAAATAAGAGAATTTCATTAATTTTACCTTGATGGTCAATATCAGTCTAGGTTACATCTAAATTATTCAATATGTTTGTTTGGATACACGTCTTGTTTTGTCCAAGTATATATCAAATCCATACATAAATAACCAAATTATGACAATTTAACCAAAATACAATCATTGACCTTGACGGTCAACGTCATTTAAAGCTCAAGGTCAAAGTCAGTTCAACCTTTTTTAGAAGGTCTTGTCCAAAAGATTGTTTTGTCCATGTATGAAGATAATCTATTGATAACTTATCAAGTTACAGCCAATTATAGCAACTATGAGTGAAAAGTCAATAATTTGACTTTCAATGCCAATGTCATGCATGAGTCAATGTCAATTTGAGTTTGATATACATCAAGGTCCTGACCTAAAAGACGTTGTATCTAAATATAAAGTTAATCCATGTATAAAATAAAAACAAAGTTACAGCCAGTTACAGAAAAAAAAACACAAGAGAATTTCATTAACTCATTCGACCCGTACGCCGAGTATAGTCGTCGTCTTTATCTGTTATCGTGTACCGCGCGCCGAGTAGAGTCGTCGTATAAAATTTATCGGCTATCCCGCATGACGAGAGAAGTCGTCGCGTATTGAACTACTACTGTATACCGCGTGACGAGTTATGTCGGCGCATTTCATTGGTTGTTTCGACGGGTTATATTTAGATTTGAGGTATTTTGACCAATCAGGAAACGCGTTATATGTATAGTATAAAGGTTTACCTATACGAAAGTGAAAATTTTATCGAAATATCTCTATCTGAAAAAAAGTTATATTGCGTTAAAAAAATGGAAAATCGGAAGAATTTATTTGACATTATGTTTGATACGGACACGGAAAATGGCGCAAATTCGGATTGTGACATTAGTCTCGATAGTGAAAGTGAGATAGAATCAATCTGATAGATCGAGTGACAGTCAAAGTGAAAATGAAAGTGCGGACGAAAATGTGAAATATTCTCAGTGGAAGACAAACGATCGGTCAGAATTGCCTAAGAGACCATTCACAGGCCCAAATCCAGATCTTGATTCGGATTCAAATGAATTTGATTTCTTTGAACTGTTCTTTTCTGTGTTTCTGATTGAGCTACTTTGTAGACAGTAATTTTGATTTTGTTTACAAAAATATTTAGTCTAGCTGATGACCTTTTTTTCATTCCTTTTTATCAAGAAAAGTAACATAATTGAAAGCGCTAGAAAATAAGAGTAACTGTTCTAATGTAAGAAATACAAAAATGTAAATACCTTACAGTTTTTGTATTTATTTTGTAATTATTTTTATATTATTATTATATATAATTTTTATAATTATTATATATAATTTTGAAATTATCTAAAATTAATCCACACATATAACAATTTTCATTCATATTTCATATATGGATTATTTTTTTCCGGCTAATATTTTCTTACTTTTAGACACAATAGTAAAGATAAATAAAATTATTTATTGTTTTCTTTGAAATTTTCTTAAAAAAAACAACAACAGGAAAATAAAAGTTTTTTTTAATGAATATGAATTTCTGATATATATACACCTCTGCACCATAAATGTTACATTTCTTGTCTGTTTTTATGAACTCCATAACATAATACTTATATTTGCTCATTAGTCATTACTATACTTATTTATTTGCATATAAATGCTTCCAAAGTATTCATTTCTAATTTGTAAATTAGCAGTAAATTTCTCAATATATTTTTTAAATTATTATATTATGGAGAAGAATGTTTTAATAGAAATTAATACAATAAATAAAGTTCTTTTATTACAAATAAACTGATTTTATGTTGAAAATCTTCTTTATTTTATTGATAATAAATCAGTCCAACATGTTGCCATAGTGATGGAAGTTACACCACTGATTAGGTAATTTTATTGCCAACATTTATGTGTCATTTTCAGCTTGATTAGATTAAAAATGAGATTGCCAGAGGCAAATTACATAATGCACCCCTATTATTTATGACCTGTCAATAAAACAGTGCAATATCCCTCAGGGAGACAGGTTAGATAAAATCAATAAGGTACCTAGGAGTTGGCTTATCAGTTATCAGTAGGGTTTAAGTGGTAGACAGTGTACAGGGTTGAATGAGTTAACTTGATGTTGACGGTCAAGGTCAATAAAAGGTCAATGTCACATTTAAATTATTCAATATAATCGTTTGGTAACAAATGTTGTTTTGTCCAAGTATAAATCAAGTCCATACATAAATAACAAAATTATGACAACCAAAATTCAACAATTTGACCTTGACGGTCAATGTCATTTAAAGCTTAAAGTCAAGGTCATTTCAACTTTTTAGAAGTTATTATCCAAAAGGTTGTTTTTTCCAAGTATGAAGATAATCCATTCATTAATTCCCAAGTTACAGTAAATTTTAGCAAAAATTTTTAATTTAATAATTCAACCTTCAAGGCCAAAATCCTAAATGAGCCAAGGTCTATTTGGGTTTGATATACATGAAGGTCTTATCCTAAAGAATGATGTGTTATAATAAGAAGTAAATCCATTCATTAACAACAAAGTTATAGCCAATTACAACAAAACAAATTGAAAATTTCGATAATTTGACCTTCAAGGTTAGGGTCATTTATGACTGAAGGTCAATGTCTGTCTGGTTAATAATAATAATAATAATAATAATAATAATAATATCTTTATTTAAAGAAGGTTACACATTAAGAACATACAATAACAATCATATATATCTTATTTCCAAAGTGGCCTTCTGAAAAAGAAAACAACAACAACAACAGGACATTCATAGGTAGAAAAATGAATGTATAATATGTAATTATTAGAATAATACAACTCATATACTTTCGACAGGCACTCAACAATTTTTGTTTAAACATATATGTATATTGCATCATTTGTTCGTTCGTTCATTCGTTCGTTCATATATTTATTCATTCATTCATTCACTCACTCATTCATTCATATGAACATCAAGATAACTTGAAGGTCTATCGTAAAAGATTATTGTGCTGAAGTTTAAAGACAATCAATTCAACATTAACAAGTGATAGCCATTGATAGAAAAAAAAATCGGCAAAAATTAAGCAAAATTTAGACATTTAACCTTGAAGGTCAAGTTTTTTCTTGTGTACTTGAAGGTTAAGTCCAAACGGTTGTTGTGGTCAAGTATGAAGATCAAGGACGACAACGGCAACAGGAACTGTAACACTACCTCTATTACTTTTTAAATAAGTCGAGCTAAAATGATTCAAGTGGAAAATGCGCAAGTACTTGAGCTGCCGATCAATCCTTGGAATTGCATTTGAGGTATAAGACCAGTGGTCCGGACAAACTAAACATAAAAACCATTAAAGGGCCACAACTCTGACAAAAAACATTGGACCGGAAAATGCCACCGATATTCACAACTAGGCTGAGTGCTTATCATGAATGAAATTGCACCAGTAGTTTCTGGGGAGTAGTCCGGAAAGCTTTTGTGACCGACGGACAGATGGACAGACAGACGACAGAGAAGTGACCCCTATATGTCGCCACTATAGGCTACACAAAACTTGTAAATACTATTATGATCTTATTTATTAAATAAATAAATTGATCAATAGCTACAGGTTTTAGAATATAATTGTTTGTGATAACTTTTATTATAATCATTGTAATCATTTTTTTTTCTTTTAAGGCTATATGGGTCACAGTTTTTATGTCAAGGACACTGTAACTACCATATAATATTGTCCTACTTAACTTCAACATCTACATATTCAGTCAACCTCAACACTAAATCTTAAAATGCAGGCTAAAAGCATTTTGAAGTTATTAATATGACTGATGTAGTATGGATGGGCACAAAGAAATACATTTGCAACGCAATAAAACCGCTTCTTTGGCGGGAAAGTGACCAGGGCAGCATGGTCGTTTAATTTAAATTTTGCAAAATAACAGAAATAAAAAGTGCCCAAAAATAACCAACTCAAGTATTTAAAGCATCTATTATGACCCATTTTTTCCTACACTTTTCAGCTGTAATTAAAATATAGAAAATGAGAGTTCAATGAAGTAAGGAAAATATATTAATATCGTAAATCACCATTCGACCAGGTATGGAAGGAATGTGTAGTAGTCTTTCACAATAGTTTTCTCTATCTGTACTTCATTAAAAAGATCGTTTTATAGTAGAAACATTTGTATTTCACAGGTGTGAATAATAAAATGTGTACTACATCATATTTTCCCCTGTATTGTAATGTCACTATTTTCTATGGAATTAGTAACAAGGTAACGTTATACAGTGGATTTTTACTTGAACGAAACATCGGCACGTGTGATTTTTCTATGTATAATTTCCCGCTCATGACTTTCTTTCTTACATATATAACTTTTGATTAAATAAGACTAAAACATGATATCTTTTTATTGCAATTATTAAGATCTTTTAAGCAGCAAAGCACATTAATCATTTAGATATTAATACAGACCTACCAGCATCTTTGTAAAAATCATGTGAAATTATTTCAGATATTTAATATTTAATTCCCATTTTTGTTCATATTTTAAATATTACAAACACATAAAACAAAGCTATAAAACTCTTACAAAGGCATATTACCAGGATTTTTTATTTGCAGTATTCCATTATTTTCTCTATTGACCATGTTGAATTTGTCATTGTTTCTCAGCATTTTATTTTGGTGTGACCATATCCATCTAACTTCGTCACTGTCTGTAGTCATACCGGAAGTGTCACATCTTAATTCCAACGCTTCCGTTGTTTGCACTGGTAAAATGGCGTCTACCGGCGTTACTGTATAAGAAGTAAATGGTATACTAAAATGACAATTTCCATTACTAATTTATTCATATATTTTGGTTTTTGAATCGCATCTGTATTTTCATCTTCAAATACTAGATTTGTTCAAACTTATTCTGTATTTATGTATCTAAAATTCAACTTTTTAGTTTAGTCAACCTGCTAACAGTTACTGTTTTAAAGCACTTTTTAATCTGTAAATCAGGTTAACTGTGTCATAACCTGAATTATTCAGTTAGTATGTAGGAAATCTTTTTTATAAACATATAATAATTGAAAGTCGCACATTATGTTGAAAAGTATGTTTTTCATTGGTATGCTGATATTCAGAATATTATGTATAACAACACTTTTCTACACATCGTAATCACTGTAGATTATACGTGAGTGTACTCTACAGGTACATGTATTAATTACTGGCATAATTTACGTGTTAGGCACCTGCAAGTTGCCTGTGATGATATGACGTCTGCACAATATGACTAGACAATAGCTTGTCTATGTTTTTGGTGTGTTTTTATTCATTATTATTCTCAGTGAATTTTCCCTTCTAAACAGTTAATACTACATGTATAACTGTACCTTTTAAAAAAATCTTAACAGTTAAGTTCTTATTTATATCGTTTAGTCTTAAATGACGCATTGAACCCTCACATGCAATTCAATTACCAATGGTAAGAAATAAAACAAGCGTATAATAAATTAACTACATGTATAAAATGCATGATATGCAGAATATAATTTAACAATAAGTCTGGAACCTATGGTAGGACAACCTGGTACACGATAGTCACTCTACACTGGGAGATAAGATAAGTTATCTTATGTCCCAGCTCTACACAACAATAACATCAAAATAGATACAAACAAGTTTGATTTGCCCCTGTGGGGGATTTGTTTAAAAATTGTTCAGACATAGTCCAAATTTCATGGTTGTACATCAAAGGACAAGAAAGTAGGTCATATATATATAGTGGTCCCTTAGGTAGGGCAAATTTTGACCCCAAGGCTTTTATTTAAAAAACGTTGATACATGTCCATCAGACAATGTTTCATGTCGAATATCTAAGCTCTATAGCTTTCTCCCCAGAAAACATTTGTTTAGTTTTTGTTTTTACTAAACGTACCAATTTTGACTCCAGGGCAATGATTTGAACAATCTTGGTATAAGTATTATAGATTTTACTATGTACATATAAGGAAAACCTACCCCCCCCCCCAATTTTGACACTAGGAACAAAACTTGTACAGCTGTGGTAGAGTTCAAAAAAAGCTTTCAAAAAAAAAACAACTTTTCAAGCTTCCTACTCAATGTAGCTTATTATGTAAATGTATAGGTTATAAATAAATAGTGTTTAAACTAAGCGGGGCAATTAAACTAATTATCAGGAAGGTATGTCCTTTTAAAAACTACAATGAGCCTGGACATTCTACACGAATTAATGAAGCTAAAAAAATAATAATAACATAATTATAAGATAATTTCACTTGTTCTTCACGTCCAAAAAATGTGCAGGAAATCGGTGAGACAAAATGCTCTCTAAATTTGTGCACACTCAACCTTTGCTAAAAACCACATGTTTGAGTGTGAATATTTTATGGGATAATTTTATTAACGCCGTGCGAAAGGTTTTAAATGTTGATTTACTGTTCAGCTGAAGGACGAATTTAACCCTATAAATGTATAAATGAGTTTTGCTAGAGAAGCGTGTTTTCCAATTTTTCCCATTTTTTTTTACAGTTTAAGACTTAATTAATACCGTGTGTGTGACCCGTGACTATCAATGACAGCTTGACAGCGCCTTCTCATACTCCCTATTAGGTTTCTGATCGTTCTAACGGGTATGGCTGCCCATTCTTGGACCAACATGGCTCCAAGCTCCTGGATGGTTCTGGGTTGCAGCTGACGAGCTGAAATTCTAACCTGCAGCTCATTCCACATGTGTTCTATTGGATTTAAGTCAGGTGAGCGAGCTGGCCAGTCCATGCGCTCAATAGACTCCCTATATAAGTAGTCCTGGACCACCCTGGCCCTATTTGGGCGAGCATTACTTTTAGTATCGTCCATTTGAATGAACTGATCGCCGACTGCTCAAGTATACAACATAACCTGGTTGTCTAAGATGTCGTCTATGTATCGCTGACCTGTCAATGTGCCTCTATTTAGCACAACCAGGTCGATAACACCATAACCGACCCACCCTCCTAGCGGTCATGCTCAGCAATACTTGCAGCCTGAAACCGATCACCTCGTCTTCTCCAGACTCTAGCACACCTATCTGTGAAGTCAAGGCAAAACCTGGACTCATCGGTGAACACAACTGTCTCAAGTGTTGCATGGTCCACCGTGTATGCTCCATGGTCCATTCCAAACGGGCTTGGCGATGTCGACGCGTCAAAGGGATACGTATGCAAGGTCTTCTCGACCGCAAATTATCTTCATGCAGCCTTCTACGTACCGTTTGCGTGGAAACATGGACCCCCGCAGCATTAACAATGTCATTTCAAAGAGAAGTTGCTGTTGAAAACCTTGCATGACGTGCCTGAACGACCTAAACCGATCCTGGGCTTGTGTTGTGACCCTTAGCCGACCTCCAGCATGCCTACTGGCGGGTGTACCATGTAGCCGGTATTTCTCCCAGGTTCTGGTGATGACAGTGTAGTGTACACCTAGCGCGGCACCAACCTGGCGGAGTCCTCCATAACTCTGCTTCTCTCAATGCCGCCTAATGTTAGCATTCGCCATATCGAAGTGACAGATGTAAGAAATGTAAGCCACTGAATGACAATATGCCGGTAATGTCGCCGTATAACAAAAGGCATGTGATTGTAAACCCCATCAAAAACATGAAAATATTTGGGTGCTTGCTTTCCATGCTAACTAGGACTATCTCAAAACATTGCTGAATCAGAATTTTCAAAAATTGGGAAGAAATCTGTTTATTAATATTTGTGATAATATAAAAATTAACTTATTGTGTTTAGCAAAAGTTAAGTAGTATAATATAAGTGTATATAAATTAAGTATTTTCCGTTATTTAAACTTGTTCATTCGTTTTGAGAATAATATTTTATTTACACTTATTTACACTTTATTGACATGGTTTATTACTGTGAAAGACAGATCATTTAAACAATGTTTATATCCACTTATACAATTTAATGTCGGTAACTATTAATGCAGAATATTTATTTTGCACTCTTAAGTAGAACAATGTGTTAAATGATCAATAAAACAATCAGCTAGGAACATGCTCTCATATAATTGTCATTTCTCTGTATAATAGTGTTGGTATAAAAATCATTCTATATAATTCACTGATATGTTTAGAAAGAGCATCAAAACACGAGGCTATCTGATTTGTACGAGGGGGCGTTGCCCCCGAGTATTTATCAGATTGCCGAGTGTTTTGATGTTCTTTCTCTTTTGTATCATAGTCAAACATAAAAACACGTTCCCTGTTGTCACAATATGAAACCCCAGAGAAAAGTAACCAATAAACGAGCATCTGAATATGATATTTCTGTCCCTTTCCCTTTCTCTGCCGTCACAATTAGTGAACCCCAGCAAAAATGAGCCAATCAATCAGCATGCTCTGGAGTGCGAGTAACTAATACCTGCACTCCAGTTAACGCACGGTACATGTATATGTAAACGATTTAACTCGGACACATTTTCAACAGAAAGGTCCCCAAACTATGATACAAATTTTAGTTATTGTACGTGTGTATATTCATGAAAAGTCGACTAGAATAATTCATCACTGTTATCATTGAAAAAACGTTCGAAAACCTTCATGAAGGTAACCTCTGAAGTTAATGTCATTCTTAAGTAAAACAATTGAACTTACCCTCAATGACACGAACGGTGATTTCTGTTGATTGTCCCTCAACTTCGCAACTATATCTTCCACTGTCTAAAACTGTAGATTTCATCTTCTCTAGAGATGTCGTTCTTGTTCCTGTTTCAGAATTCCGTTGTGTCTTGACAAGAATCTATTTGATATGATAAAATTTAAAAGAAAAACATCATTGATAAGTAACAAAAACAGATAAGCAAAATATGTTGGTTTGTGGTTATGGGCTAGAAATGACCTGTTGATGGCTATTGGTTTTTTATTGGCTAGAAATGACCTGTTGGTAGTAATGTGCCAGAAATGTCCTGATGGTAGTTAAGGGCTAAGCAAGGACCTGGTGGTGGTAAAATCGGTTAGATTTGACCTGGTTGGTAGTAACGGGCTAAGCACGGGCTGGCGGTGGTAATGGGCTTAAGACATTTGTTGGTAACGGGCTAGAAATGACCTTTCGGTGGTGACGGGCTAAGCAAGGACCTATTGGTGGTAAAATGGACTAAAATGACCTCCTAGCAATAACGGGGTAATGGGCTAATATACATCGTTGATTTGTGAGACATGATAACAGAGAACAAACTCTATATATGCGAATATTGAGCTTGTTTCAATGTGTAAAGCAGTTTGTGACTGTATATAAAGCTGTTCTGAAACCATCATTTTCTGTGATGGTGGATGAGCAGTGGCTATGCTTTCATGACTGTTCTGCTAGACGCTGTGCCGTAATTGGACTGGCATATCGATGTAGTGGTATGTGGTGGTATGTGTGTATATATTCTCTTAATTATATATATATAATATATATATATATATAGAGAGAGAGAGAGAAAGAGAGAGGGGGAGATATATATATTTATTATATAATCTATAAATAGCTTTGAAATGCCTTTCCCTGATTGGCTAACAAGCAACTTTTTGTAAAAAATAACAGGTCAATATCAGAGTATATTCACTGTTTTTTCCCCCTAAAAATAGATTTTCAGAGTATATTCACCGGTTTTTCTTCTAAAAATAGATTTTCTGGAAATCCCTAAAAGACGCGAGACTTTGACGTGACGTCACGCCAAGTTTGTTGTTATTATTCTGAAAAAAACGTTGAGTTGGGTGTACATAAGAGTCAAATTAGTCTATATTAGTTACCGTTTTTCATTTTTAAGAACAATAGGGATTAGCATGCCAATGGAAAGGGCCAAATTATGGAAACAGTAGACAAGCTGAAAAATAATGATTTCCGTCGTATGCAATGGCAGATGTGATAAGCCATATAAAAGCTATTTATAAATTATATAATAAAACAGATATGTACTTTTTAGCTGTTGAATATGATGTGATATGTACTGAAAAATTAATATTGACCTCGGCTATCGCCTCGGTCAATATTAATTTTTTCAGTACATATCACATCATATTCAACAGCTAAAAAGTCCATATTTGTATAATATATTTTGTAACCTGTTATTCGAAAATTATTACCTCTATTAAACTGATAAAATCAAGATATATTTATTTAATAAAAAGAACCTAAACAATGAGTTATTTGACATTAATACATACACGAGGATAAAATGTCAATGTACAAAGGTCTGTCATAATTGATTTAATAGACCATCATTGACAAGGAAATAAATGGATTTTCTGGAATTAGAAAAACTTCATCTTATTAATGCTGACTAACAAACTCTAACAATAATCAAATATATGTAGCACGTGACAAAGTGTATGATCAGTGATTCAACAAAACAGTGTTAGACATATAATACTGGCAATGCACACTTTCATACAATAAATACTGTGAGAAAAGGAATAAAGACCAATCTTTTGATAAAAAAAAACAATAAGATATCTTTATTTAATAATAATGTTTTATGTTTATTTTGAGGGGTTTTATCACATTTACCTACAAGATTTTATGTATACAACAGAGAACAAGAAATCACCATATGTTTCATGTACTACATACTTTCTCTACATTTACCAATTAACATAGATCTAGTTTTTTTCGCTACACACCGTAAAACTTTACAGGGTATTCTATAAGCGATTTTTCTTTGAAAAAAAACATGTTTTCCGGGGTTCAGGGGGGTTCAAATGATCTAAAGCTTTTTATTTTTCCCCCCTAGGGCACTCCCACAACAGCAAAAATGGATCGCATATTTTTTAATTGCCCTTTTTAAAAACTTTTGATTTGGACTCGGCATCATTTACAAAATCATATATACTGGAAATTAAGGTAAAAGGAAACCCTTTCCTTCTTTCAAAATCAAAAGGAAAATTACCCAGTCTCTTTCATAAAATCTACCCAATACAAAAATTTAAAAAAAAAAAAGGTTTTTTAAAAAATTTTTGGGGTTGGTTTTGGCTTGTTTTGACAATTTAAATTGCCACTTTTGGAACAAAAAAGGGGAAAGGGAAAAGGTTTCCAAACATTTTTAACCGGGAAAAAGGTCAATTCTTTAATTTTTTAAATTTTTTAAAATTTGTAAAAGACATTTAAAAAGGAAAAATTTAAACGTTTAAAATTTTTTTTTTTTAATTTTGAAATGATCAAGTACGCAAGGCCCCATCTCTTTATCAGTGGGGTTACAGACAATATTACTGTAAACCCTTTTTACTTTTTAGTTAAAGTTATAAATTTTTGCCCATTTTTAAAAAAAGTTCCCAACTTTCCGTGCCCCACCTTTAAACACATCCCACACGGTAAAGCTTTAAGGCGTCCCCCGGGCCCGCAAACAAAAAGGTTTTTGTTTTTCCCCGGGCACTTTTCTCAAAACTAAAAGGGGTTTCGCTAAAAATACAATAAATTCAAATTTAAAATGCCGGTTTTTGAAGAAAGTATTTACGTGATACGGTTTAAAGGATATTTTGAAACTCGCACTACATTGTGATAAATGCTATGTTTAAAGTTTCCCTTGTCATTGTTGTTAAATGGGGTGAAATTAAGACGTCCTGATCTCATTAAGATTTCCCTTGTTAAAACCCGGACAAGGTAATTTTAAAAAATTGTAAAGTTGCGCTTTCATCTTATACACCCTCTCCTGACTAAAGACTGACTTATTTGGTTTATTGGTAGGGTATGGTTCAAACATGTCGTCTGCATCTGTAATTACATTATTTTTAAAGCGTTTCAGCCAATAATCAATTGTAGTCGATCCCTAAACTTGCATGACTAATTTGGACAGGATTGGATTACAAACACCACCTGCTTTATTTGTTCTGACACTCGTTTTCTTAAAGTACATTTAACATAAGGGGAAACAATTTCACCCACTCCCATTTAATACACCCTTAAACTTTAAGTCGCTTTAATCGTTAACGTACTGTATTGGTATATTTAACATTGTATATAGCTGAAAATAAAACAAATTAAAAAAACCTTTAACACAAAGTTAAAGCAATTAGCATTAAAGAATAAGATATATTTAACTCGTGCTCAATTACTGATTTAATACAATACTAATTTAACAAACATAAATCATACTAATTGATATCTGAATAACTAAATAATAATTATTATTGTGGTTTAATCTGTTTTAAAATGAAAATGTTTACAGTACATTTAAACGTTCATACATCACTTTGGAGGACTGGAAATTTATAAACTGTCACATACTTAACAATGAAAGCACAGTAAATTGAATTAATACAAGTACTGGTGTATATTTATCGAACATACATGCACACGATTGTTTTCCCCAATGATTAGTAATTAGTTATGCTAATATACAATATTTAGTGAGTGTCTAAGCATATCTTTATTACTTATTAACATACTTCAGTATATTTATTTATGTTGCCCTTGCTGCAGTAAAAAGTGACAATAAAACACGGTATGTAATACATTGTAGGCCCATAAAAGTAACATTATATCAGTCTCAAATATTAACTTTTATATAACACGACAATATAATTAAAACTACTTGTACCGATCTATACCGCCATGCATTTAACAAACATACTGTAAATACTAGAATTACATTCTTTCTTAAAGAAAAAAAATAGCATAAATACGTACCATCTAATGGTAAAATAGTCACCAGAATATTGACCAAGAAATATATATTATACCACATGTCGACATTACAATCAATATATTCCAGACACACGCTTTCAAATTATCCACTGTAAACTGTATAAACCTCACGTTTGACGAGTATATAGTTGTGTAATATATTCTCCCGGTTTCACGTAATTTCCTAAATTTAGATAAAATTTCCTAGTAATGACTATTTAATATATAATATTACATCCGTTTTTCTGTGTTTCTACAACATGACGCACATCCAGTCATAATGGAACGATCAATAATGTCGTTTCGTAAATTCCTCCGCTCTCCTCCGCTCTGTCACACCAGATGTAAGGTTCATACTGAACGTACCTTTAAATCAATAGGTAACCTATGAGACAACATAGAAATGCAGAACATTCAGAATTACGCTATGATCATACAATCCGTTTAAATCCTTTTTTGTTGTTGTTGTTGTTGTCGTTTTTTTAAACAAGCTGCAGGCACACACCGTGTAACCGGCGCCAGTGATGACAGACTTCTGCAATGATGAGGGAAATCTAAAATTTACTGAGGGCTCCACATCAAAATTGTTGTGTACTGAAAAACGAGCGGACTGCATATCCGAGATAGAGCGGAAAGGCCGATTAAACAGCTAATTATATAAGTGTTGTTTACGTTTTTGTCTTCTAATTCATATATAGTCTTGATATCTCTTCTTAACAAAGATAATTTCAAACAATACGTACACGCATGGAGCTAAATTGTACATATATCTGTGGTACATGTACACTGCCAACTTTTTTCAAGTTCTGTGTGTAAGTGATCGTGCTTCTGAATACTTTGATATAATTTATTCCTTAATTTTTTTATTAACTAAACAATCTATATCCTAATATAGGTTTTTAATAGAGGGCCGAGTTGACCTGTGCCGTGTTGACCCGTGCCGAGTTGGTATAGGGCCGAGTTGACCCCTTACCGTATTATACTATTTGGGTAATTTACCATATTTACCGAACAAACGAATTCTGGGCTGGATCATTCGAACAGATATAAAATCCTAGCAAATGAGATTTAATAGGCCTGCAGGCTTTAGGCAGTGTTAATTGAACTATTATTGTTAAAGCATGTCAGCTTCTTCTTTAAATCTATTGACATGGAATGTCACA